GTCACATGAAAAACACATATTTAGAAAGATACCCTAAACTGACTCTTTTGAACAAGACAAAAAGTTAATTCCATAAATCAGTGTCCTAATGTGTTTTAACACATCAAAATATTTATACCAAATAGCTATATATCTCTAAATTAAAGCTAAATAAAAGCTAACAACAGGGCTGTTTTAACAAAAGAACATTAGCCCAAAAATTGGTCTAAACTTTTAGAACACAAGAACTTGGTCTACTTCAGTGTCAGTGAGATAAATTCAGAGTAATTCACTCAAGTATTGATCTCTAACAAAGTTCATGGTTCTATTACTAAAACTTTTATGTGGACTATATCTGGTGGCAAGGTATAATAACCCTATTAAATCATTAGTCAACAATTTGAAAGCAAATGGGAGTGAATCGAAGTGGTCAACCTATATGGATACATAAAAAGTTTAGACCAATTTTTTCATCTAAATTGCTTTTGTTAAACAGGGCCCCTGGTCACTTAAATATTGATCAGCCAGATAACATGTTACCTTAGCAATCACAAAAAAATGACACTTCTGAAATACATTTTAATACTAGTATACGAACACAATCAAAAATGCACTGCTATTATGCTGCTGAGTGGAATGATTGGTTACCATGTTTCCATGGCAACTTTTACCCATGGTTACATGTATCCATTTTTACTGGACTTGGGCTGCCTTTTCAATGAAATTGGCCAGCTTCACATCTTTGTCTGATAGACCACTGACATCATGGGTGCTCAGTGTTATCTGAACCTGAAAGGGTGGGGGGAAAAATTAATTGTCCAGAAATGTGATTCAAACTTGCCAATGACAATATTTTTTTCTTCCAGATGTACTAAGTATATTATTTGGACGACTGTGGTTCAATATACATCATATAAGAGTTGAAATAAAATGCAAACAGTATTTAAATGAAAGTGTACTATGATTTTAAAATTAAACAAATGTTAAGTGAATAAAACACTTTTTGCTGAGCTTCGAGGACAAGCAATACTTTTGGATAATGTTTTAACAGATAAATGCCATGAATTAATGTCACAAAAATGATCCAATTTACCACCTATTTCACGAGTTTTACGGTGTGCACAAGCCAGTGGGCGACTGAGTTTGGGGGGACGAAAACCATCAGGTCAGCACAAGTTTCTGGTTTTCCCAGAATGTTACAGGTTTATAAGGAAAGAAGAAATTATATGGAAAAGGTCAAGAAAGGAGGATCAAAGGTTGACTGGTTAAAGAACAATCAGCAAAAAGTCAAGTTCTCCTTCATGATGATGATTTGAGAGGGGATCTTCCTTACCTTATTGTAGACATTGAACCACTCTGGATGGTGGTCCATCTTTTCAGCCAGGAGAGCCACTCTGGTCATAAAACCAAAGGCCTGGGAAATAATACAATAAAATATGTTTATGGAATGATCAATTGTGTCATGAAGGCTAGGTTACTTAAAGTCATAATAACTCTTCGTTTTGGCCAAAAATACGATTTTCCTGGAAAAAACGGCAATTTTCCCGTACTTACCAATGGTCAACGACCCCATTCCTGCATTCAAAGTTAATGCAGGGTTTTTTTCCTAAACGTACGGTTTTTTGTTAAAATCTCTTAAGAGATTTTAACTGACGGAGCCCTCTCGTATCGAGCGATAGTTTCTAGTGACCTACTTAAAACCGCGGGAAAAGCAGACAACAACACTATATAACAATATTATGAGATTCATAAGATATATTCGTCTTTTTTGCTCAGAATGCATTTATATCTACAATGTGTGCAATTCTGGGCTTTTCGTTATCCGACGCACTGTAAAAAACTCGCAACTTACGTCTGAGGGTTTCCCGCCATGTTATTTTGGTCTCGAATGAGCGCGAGAATCCGCGTGACACCATTACGTCATTAGCAACGGATGCACTTGACGACCGCGAAGAAAGCATCGAAAGCCCAAGTGACAAGCACAGATTTTAGTTTTACTACAATAACAGTCGTTTTAGTGGGAAAATGCAACAGAATATATTTCCAGGCGTTGTTTACAATGTATTTCTTGCGGAATTTTGAATCTCAAAGGAAGAGTTATTATTGCTTTAAGCAAAAATTTCATCTTCTGAAACGTTATTTTAACCACTTAAATCTGAGGATTATTTAGTAAGGATAACCCAGCATCTGTAACTCTATCTATTTTTGCATTAACTGCACTGAAAATGTATTAGGTAATTCTCTATGAATTTAAGTACATCAAGGGCATTTGGTTGCTTTATTCTTTGTTCATTTGTTTTATTCTTAATTCCACTGCCAAAAAAAAATAAAAATAAAATAAANATCTCAAAGGAAGAGTTATTATTGCTTTAAGCAAAAATTTCATCTTCTGAAACGTTATTTTAACCACTTAAATCTGAGGATTATTTAGTAAGGATAACCCAGCATCTGTAACTCTATCTATTTTTGCATTAACTGCACTGAAAATGTATTAGGTAATTCTCTATGAATTTAAGTACATCAAGGGCATTTGGTTGCTTTATTCTTTGTTCATTTGTTTTATTCTTAATTCCACTGCCAAAAAAAAAAAAAAATAAAATAAATAAATAAATGTATAAATAAGAAAAATGAAAAATTACTTGACATTTGCACTGAACAAAATTATCTAAACACACTGTATTGATTTTATTTAAGATATATTATATAAAAATATTTATGAACTTTTCAGTCACCACTATATGACAAAATAGAAATTAAATTGTATAATACTCTATAACTGCTGTCCAAAGAAAAATGTGAATGAAGAACTGAATTCAGCCTAATTAAGGAACACTTTAATTCTGACCTGGTTGAAATTCTTGAACATGAATTCTTTGTAAATGGCATCTCTCCCATCCACCATGACCCAGCCAGCTGATTTTAGAGGTGAGAGGACAGAGTCTCTCTCCTCTGCGGTTAGCTTGGCTCTCTTTGCCTCTGATGCCTTTGAAAACATGATTGATTTTTAGTGCAATGTTATTTCCTTTCATTGTTTTATTATTTTCAGAAATCTATTTATTGTACAAATCAAACATTTAACAAACAAATAATACAATAAATTTATAAGAAAAACCAAGAACTTTAGACAACATAAGTGAATTATCATCACCATCTTGCACAAAAAGCAAAGTGAATTATAATATACAGTATGTCAACATCATGCCCACAGCGTACTAGTACTATTACTAATAATAAGAACAATAATAATAATGACAGCAATAACAGAGGGCAAGATAAAACCAGATGTTGAGAGGTTGGAAAGTATGTCAGATATGTTTGGCGTCACATCTTATCTTAGGACAGTTGAAATTAATGGCTGTTGTCACTATTTATTCAAGAGACGACGAAAAGACATCTAGATTTAGGCATAAAAACCTGCTATCATGCAGACTTCTGAAACAACATATGATGCCACAGTCTATACTTGTAAATAAATCAACGCCTGCAGCTGCTATTAAAAGGTAATTAGTTGCATGACAGCAACATAATCTTACCATTTTCCCAAACTGTCGCACTTGTCTGAAGATGAGTCGCATTGATGCCGCCAACCCACAATCCTCAGTGCAGTTTCCGGTTTACTTTTTGTTATATCTACGTTTCCACAGTAGATAACGCAATAGTCTGTCCACTGAATAACCTGAGCGATTCTGATGAAATATTTATGAAAATGCGTTCATCTTTTGCTCTTGTGTATTTTCTAATTACCTCTTAAAACAGTGCGTGAAATGGGGAAGTAACATCTGCGCATATAGATCTACGCAGGTTATTTACAGTAATGGCAGCCTCCATGGAAGAGGACGTGACTTCCTTACGACCAGAAAGTTGGTTAATTCATCGTGCAAAAAGCTGCTTGAAAACAGATGGGTGCGCTGCAAAAGCATGGCTCATCACAGCCCGTACTTTGTTCCCACAAAATTTTGATATAAAGGTACAGAGAAATGTGTATAAGCCAGATATCGGCATAGAATTCAGCATTGTTAAGATGCAAAACTCTAGTCTGTCTCAGTAACACAGTACGAGCCTTACTTACTCTGCTCTTCCAAGGAATTGAATCACATTTGGAATGGCAAATAAAGAAGCCCAGGCTAAAAATAAACTCGAATCTTTACATTTACCTTTAAATCATGGGACCGGGTTACGTCCCATTAAAGCGACACAGTTGATAAAAAATAAAATAGCTGCAACCGTGTGATAATAATTTTATCTAACTGTTTATTATTTATTTATTGCCCAGAATACCTGTACACAACCGCTGTTCTGATAATGATTCTGCACAAAAATTCACAGTGTTATGACATCCTTTTGCACCTACTGGTATTTGGCTCTTAAAATGCTTGTACATACTCCCTGTTTTCAGTTTGAAGCCTATGAAGTAGAAAAGAATGCCAGGAATATCAAACTTGCTGCAAAGGACTTACAGGAAATGTATGTGGTTTGTATTTCAATAGGAATCACACATTTTAGATTTTCCAGAAACTCTTCTTAGATTTTTACCTTTCTGAGATTTTCTTTTTAAAAAAAAATTCTGTAGCAAACATGTTTCTCTTTTGTTGCTCATGAAGTGTCTTTGTTCTGATGACTGCCATGGCTCAAATAAGTTTCCATAAATAAAATAAGATTCTTACGCTGTAATTTACACAAATAGGAAACAGTCAGGGTTGTGTATTTATCATTTAAAATTCATACTGAAATGAAATAATAATTTCCAATGTCAAGAAAAGCCATTCCTTTTTGTCCAGGTTGAGTAGTTTCAAAGAAGAGCCTCGCCTGAACCAGGAACTCCAGGCTGTCTCTGATGCTTTACAGGCAGAGGGCGCTGATCCCAAGACAGCACTGTATAAAGGTTTCTGTTTCATTTTGAGACTGATTTATTAATTTTTCTGTAGCTGATGAATGAAAGCTTTGTATATATAATGTTTTAGTTCTGTTCATCTGTAGTTATAATTATAAGTGTGCATACAATTTAACCTTGAAACAGTAGTATTTCTTTGCCTTTTGAAAAAAAAAAAAAAAAGAAATTAAAGAGATAGCTTCAGAATGTCTTTAAGATTTATTGTTCAGCTATATTTGTCATCACCTATAAATGGCCAGACGATGTGCAAGATCATGTTTATTTGTGCATGTGTGTGTGTGTGTGTGTGTGTGTGTGTGTGTGTGTGTGTGTGTGTGTGTGTGTGTGTGTGTTATTTATTGTATACTGACACCACTATTACAGATATATTCAGTGCGCTGCCTGCTGAGACCCAGCGCCAGATGCTACTGTCTGTGATCAGTCAGAAACAAGATGTCCTCCACCAGTGTAAAGCCACATTATTGATATTGAGAAGATTTCCAGATCTTGTTCCGGACACAGGGGTGAGAAATCGGAACAAAAGGAATCTAGTTAAAAAAATTTTGTCTCTTTTGAGAAAATTTGCTTTTTCTAATCACCTTTTACACATGAGAGAATGAAAAACCTGAATTGATTTTTTCCTCATTTGCTTTGTTTTTAAAACTGGCAATCTGATGACAGGATAGATAGGATAGATTTTTGTAATAATATTTCTCCTCAGAAATCCAGGCTATATTGTCATAAATTTTATGGTTAATTTATATTATGAAAAAAAGTAGCAGTGGAATTCATGACTACACATGAAGGAAGAAAAAAGCTGCCAGAAGGCTAGCTGTGCATACATATTTAGATATAGTTTTACATATTCATTAATGTCTGTCTCTAGGTTAACTTGGCTGAGAGTCTTCTGTCAGCAGAGAAACATGCCCACTTCCACACTGCTCTCAACTGCTACAGGAAATACTTGGGTAAGAATTGTATGACAACTTTCAACAATGGTAGCCCATTCATGGTTCTCGATTCAATACTCCATTGGGCCACACTGAAATGCTTTCATTAAAATGGTACTGGTAGTCTCCTTGCTTCTCTGTTAGATTTTTGAGATTTTTTGCTTTACAAATCAACCCCTTAGGAATATAAAGTTTGTTTTAAATTGGAAAGAAACTCCACACTTTGAGCTTAATATGACATGATCTCATCCTGTGTGAAGTCAAAGTAGGCACAAAAACTCACCAAAAACACCTTTTAAGCCCCAGAGTACAACCTAACTTGCTAAACGCTCAACCAACCCTGTTTATTTTAAACATTTTATTTCTGATATTTTCTTCCCATTTTCCTCTTCAGTTCACGACCTGCTTCCCATCATGCTGAACTGCAAGGAGGCCAGCCTGGCACACAAACAGCTCTACAAGTGGCTGCAGAAAAGCATCGAGTTTTACATCTCCTATATAACGCAGCCCCCTCCTCTGGATGCTGGGTTATCTTCTCCAGGTAGGATATTGAGGTCAACACTGCTGCCATCTTTTGGTGCTGGGTGGTACTTTTCAGTCAAAACTCTACTTGGCATAACTGTGTATAGTTTTTAATTGAACCAGCAAGTTAATTTAATATATGATTTATGGTTAGGGGATTTTTAAGTCTTATTAGTAGGTAAATCTGCATTAATGTTTCTTGTCTTTTCTGTTTTTGTTTTTCAACTGTCAGCTGTGTAGTATATTCTTTTGATTGATAAAGTGATAAAAAATTAATCATTAACACTATGTTAAGACAAATTTATCAGTTATGAATAAAAATCAGTTATGAATAAATAAATAGCTTTTATGGATGATGTATTTTAAAGTTTATAATTCTTTTTACCTTTTCAGATATGATGTCTCCAACAAAAAAACTAACAATGTCCTTCTCCGGCAAACGTCTCCAAGCCATCCAAGGACTTGCTGAGAAGGACAGTCACATTCCACGTCCTTGGCAGACTTTGTTTGACATCGTCACGGCAACAGGGCAACAGCTGGGGTGGGAGATTGGGGACTTCTTTGTGAAGACCAGGTAAGGGACCTCCCAGAGACTGACACAGAGACTCGCTTCTGCCCCCCTGCCTCCCCCCCCCCCCCCCCCCCCCCCACCTGTGCCAGACCCTGCAGTGGCTTGGGTCATAAATATTGTGATCATCTTAGACCCCATCCCCATAGGCACCACCGGTCTACAAAGATTAATCCAACTCAGCAGAGACTGTCGCTGAGTGCAATCAGCTGAACTGAATGACACACCTTTTTGTGTTTTCAACATACTCCTGAAATCACCAGCTTTTCTGTATTCTACTTAATGCCTCTGTTATTTAAAACTGAAAAGATCATATCTGATCATTTCCTAATTTTATTTTCAGTCGAGAAGCCCAGTGGCAAGAAATTCTCCTCCTTCATAACAAATGTCAGCAGTCAGACCACAGTGGCCTACACAGACAGCTGTTATACTGTACTCTCATATTACTACTGCAGTGCATTCATGACTACCAGACTAGGATGGATTCTGGGCTTTTTACAGGTATAGTATGCTTGCAAACATTTGGTACCTAGAAATCAGGGGTTTCCCCAGGATTTGGGGTACAGGGAGTCCAAAAAGCCAGGTATATTATGTTCACTTGATTAAACAAATCATATTTATTTTGCTGCAGTTTTAACTGTTGTTACTCATATTTTACAGTTAAATGCCTCATTGCTTTTTTTTTACACATCAGTCTTTTTGTGCAGTTTTGAAAACCCAAGATTAGAGACTTGAAACTCTAGACAAAATGTCTGGAAGTTTTTTATTAAAAATTTAACAACATAAAAGTTTTGAAATACATCAGTGTGTTATATTTCAGGTAGCAGTAATCACCAGGAGTCCATTGCATTAATGGAAGGATTTAAGGCTGATGGAGATGAAGGAAGGGTGCATGGGTAAGTGTATATAATTTTGCGATTTCACCAAGACTTGTGAAATTAAGTCAGAAAGCTATGGAGTAGGAGTGCATTGAGGAGGCTTTATGTATGAATTTTCCCCTCTGTGAAGTGTTGGAGCTGCATTTAGCTTTTGATTATGCACCCTGTATGTATATATTTATTAAATATGATGAATTTTATTTTAGACGGACAACTGAACAGCATCAAGTATGTGACTTCATGGCAGTAGTTGAAATTATAGTTACTGTGCCACATTCTGTGCAGCCAAGTACTTTAAAGCATTGTCAAGAAGTTTGCCCATAGCTGGGTTGTTATATCAAAGAGACAGTCTATGGTCTAAATCTGTATAAGATTTAGCCAATTTGATGCATTTATGTATTCACTATTATCATGATGGCTATATATATTTGTGTTACTGTTTTAGGCCCAAGCATAAAAAGCTGAAAGTTGAAAGCACCATACCCCAGATCCACAGTAATTCCAATATTCCTGACTCCAATGTGTTGATGCAGAATATGTTGACAGCATTTAAGTGTTGGGAGATGCTGCATGTGGACAGCCTAGAGAAGGGTGTGTAACCTGGATCTCTATTTTTGAAAACTTTGATCAGTAATTCAATTAATTTACAGTTGTGGGGAAATATTGAATCATATTTGTTGTTTGAAATGTTTGTCCTTGTCCATTTCTTCAACTAAGATCCATCACATGTTCATTATTATTATTATTATTGTTATTATTTTTATTATTATTATTATTATTATTA